AAGCATCTATTTCTCTTTGGCTGTCTGCACAGCGGCTCGGCGGAATATATAAATCTGAGATGGAAAACTGACATCTTTTAGAATCTATAGATCAATGGCAAAAATGCACGTAACTAGCAAGAACACCACTTAATATAATAGATTCTTATAAAGTGATTTGATGATATTCTCCCTCAAGATAAGCAGCTGTTTCATGAAATATCAAGGGAACAGTGCTTCCAGCTCTGTCTACCAAGGAAGCAGAGCCACGTCACGATTCGGGTTTCGAATTGAAAGAAGAAATTCATATATCTGTGGAAGATTATGCGTATGGATACGCATCAAACGGAAGCTAGAAGTAAGCCGCATTAGATTGCTTGGGAAAAAACGCTAGATTCTGAAACGCCTCTCCAAATCCTTGGGCTCCAATCCATAAATCCGTTCTTTCAAGAATGCTTCGAGATGGGCACCTGCTTCTTGGAGGAGCAACTTGATGGCCTCCTAAATACGCAATTCTCTCAGCCGTTGCTAGCATGGAAGCCCTCAACTTCAAGAATTCGACGTTTATTCAAGATTCGGGATATCAAAATATATACGGACGTAGGATTTTGAGTTCTACGCATTGCTTTCTTCTCCAGCAGCTCGCGTGCCGTTACGAGTACACTCCAACGACGATGCTCCGCTGCTGTAAGCAGCGGGTCCACTCTAATATTTTCTGGTTCTAATGACTACCTATGATTGATTTTTAGGATTTGCACGTATTTTTTTGAAAAAAACAGTTTGATTTTTGGATAGATTATAATTTGGAAATTTTGGTATTACTTCTGAAAATTAAATGTCAAAATATATATTTTTGAGATATCTTTAGCTAAATGATTGTAATTGATATTATAGGATATTAGGAGAATTCAAATTTGATTATGATTGATTGGGAGATTCTTCTTTGAACCTGATTTCTTATCAATATTCTTTCTTGAACGAAAAGAAATTAACCTCAATATTACGGCGCGGCCACTTGCGGCCATTTCGACCGCGCGCGGCCTAGCCTTTCCGGCTCACCTCTAAAATGCCTCCTGCGGGTTCTCTAGGGATTCTAAAATCTCGGAGATTTAGAGTCCTTCAGAAAAGCTAGAGGCTCTATAATCTCTGAGATTTTTGGCGCGGGCGGCGCGACTAAGAATCTCGGAGATTTTTGGTCGCGCAGCCTTTCGCCTCGGAGCGATTTTTCGCGTGATTTATTTATCTCTTTGGCTATCTGCGCGGCTGCGCGGCGGAACGCATAGACCCGGAACGGAGAACCAATATCTTTTAATATTTTGCAGGCTAGCCGTATCTGAACACGGGGATTTATGCGTTTCCCCGAGCCGTCGCGCAGATAGCCCGAGAAAGATAAATGAACGGGAAAGACCGGGCTGGATGCGAGGGCCGCGCGACCCGCAATCTCCCGATATTTCGAGCCATTTCTCTCATTTCGGATATCTGCGCGGCGGCTCGATATAGATCCGAGGCGGACATACAAAATCTTTCAGAATCTATTAGATTGGTCGTTTTTCCGTTCACGTGCGGTCCTAAATATTGATTTCATATATTCCGCGTGAACTATCTCTCTTTGATTGTCGAGTCGGCTGGTCGCAAGAGCGCAGCTATTCGATAGAGCGCGTAGACCCGAGACGGAGAATTATCATTTTTCATAATAGATCAGTCATATCTATTTATGCGGATTCATGCGCTCCCCCGAGCTGGTACCCAAATAATCTCTGCAAGCGAAAAGGAATAAATCTCGCCATTCAAGATTTCTAAGAAATCTATTTAGATATCTTCGTATTCGTAAGAAAGAAAAAGAAATATATAAAGATTTGACGTCCGCTTTCCAATCGTGAAATCCCGCCATCCCCCGCCACGAATTAGACGAGAAAGAAGACGCCGAAAGAAAGAAAATCAACAACGCAGAAGCGGACCCTCAAACGAAATGAAGAAATAATGAGAAAATGGAATACTCTATCTCTAATCATCTATTCGCTCAAGATCCCGTCCCCTCAGATTTAGAGTCATCATATCCTGCGCGTGGGATCCTGATAGAAATTTCTATGATCATCTCCCTCGGAATATATTTATAGGAATTGAATAGAACGATCATGGATTTTGGGCGGGCTCTGGCTTTTGTCCCTAGACCGCTGCAAGCAAGTACGCCCATATTTCTGAATCACGAAGGAAATACGTTATTTCAATATCTGATAGGTAGATCCAATATTTCGGCGCAGATTATCTTCGATAGCTCGGCAAAGCGAAATCAGAGGACGATCCCCCTCTGCTTCCAGGCCTCCAGAATATTCAAATATCAATGATTCAAATCCTATGCCCTGGGTATGATATCTTTAGACCGTCTCACGATATCTATATTTACGTGCCGCCTGAGATTTAGTAGCCGATAAATTACCCTGCCCCAAGTGAGACGACCGGAAAGGAGAGATAATCGAGATATCAAATACCATCCTCGGTCGGCATCAGACCCCAAATAGATTGTCTGCAGAGAGTTCTAGGAATCGTTAGACCATCTGTTGGGCGCTGATATGAAGAATCTAGCAAGAGATGATTGAATTCCAATCTGCAATGAAGATTTCTTCCCGGCAGAATTCTATGAATTTCATCATAAATCATATTATGAAAAAAAAACCGATTTTCTCCCAAATATATGGCACGCAAAATATATAGGATCCAAAGGAATCTTGAGAGTAGAGATATCATGGATATGCCATCTCGCCTTCCAAAATTTATCTGCCAAACCGCATGCAAAGAATATCTTAGAATACAACATTAAATAAAGAAATATCAAAATGGTGATTCGGAGCTATCCGAGTCCATCCGTCCGATCCTTTCTTGGAGATATCATAATTTCTATCAAATCTTTTTATTTAGGTTTGAAATCCAGATTCTCGAATTCGGGCTTTCAAATAAGAAATATCTACGTAAATCTCTGAATTATGGAGATCTAATATATTCATGAAAGATCCAATAGAGGAAGAACCAAAATTTCAATCAATAGAACCTTCATTTAATACGCTATCACTTAAGCCAAATCATTCCTTCTAAAAATTCAATATCTAAAGAATTTTTTTCCGTAATAAGTCCTAAGCCGCCAACAATATTAAGAAACGCAAGCTTGCAATCATTAAAATACTCTAAGAGAGTTCTACACGAAATATACGACCAAATATTTCCCGAGATATGTAATCAATTTATATCATAAGTCTTAAAAAAATACCGACCCTAATATAAATATCAAATATTTTTCAAAATTATCATTCTTATTACGTACGATTTTCTATATAAATTATTATATATATAGACTTATGAATTCATCATCCTTCAGGCTTCTCTCTAAAAAAAAACTCGTAGGCATTTTCTTATTTCAGAAAATTTATTAGAAATTTTTAGAATCTTTTGAACAGTACGGTCAAAAATCTTTTAAGTCTTCAAAATTACCAAATTCTAGAAACGCCAAAATCGATTCGACTCGTCGCGAGTAGTCACGACTAGAAACCAAAGACCGAATCTTTTTATATTTCATTTTCCCTCGAATATAAAGATATATAAATAGATTTCTTAGAAATCTTGAAAAGCGAGATTTCTTCCTTTTCGCCTTAAAATCATCCGCTAACGGCACCATCCTCCAGTTCGGGGGCCGCCCATTCAAAAATCTCCCGAAATTTCGAATCATTTACTATTTGATTTTCGGCGCGGCGGCTCGTTAGAACGAGAGATCCGGAGCAGAGAAGCACATCTTCAGATTGGTTGTTCTTGCTACGTACGTGCTTATTATTCATCGGATTTCTTATTATAGGTACTCTCAATCAATTATTTTCCGGTATGGATATTCTCAAGCAAATATTTTCCGTTGTTGTAGGCAGCGGCTAAACTCTAGCTTCTCATAAATACGAGAAGAAAATATCAAAGCCGATACGACTAATCCTCAAATCCATGTCATCCCCCCACACTTGCCCCCAACCAAATGCAAACCCAGATAGTACTCACAAGAAAATATTTCAAAGAATTGAATTTTCTGAAGAATCCTAACAGAACTAGTATCCAATAATATATGATTTCCATATATTTCCATTCAAAAGCCTCTATGAATGAAGAGATGGCAATTCTCCTGCAAATTTTCTCTGGACAGGGGGAGAAGGCGTCCTCGAGAGCATGGCCAGTGCCGCCCTGAGCCAGCAAGATAGATGCAATTGAAGGATTTGGAGTCATGAAGTACGGTCTCTTTGGAGGTCCCAGATGGCCCCTAGGTTTAGGGTACGCCTGGTTGCAGACCTGAGCTCGTGTCTTGCAGTGAAACTGAAGCGTGCATAGGACACAGGCCAGAAGGATTCTGATTAATTGAAGTTCCTGTTCAGTTCTGAACCCGCCAGCAACACCCAGCTTGAAGAATAACATCCAAATCAGCCGTGCGAATCTTTAGAATAGCGAGATGCAGGAACTGCAGCAGCCCCGAGAGCTGGAACACGTGCATTGCCTATGGTGCCAGAGTACAGCAAAAGCTGCTCCCAGTTGGATGCCTCATTCAGGGGATTCCACCAATCGTACCTGGACGCTGCTCATTCCGTGAATGAAAGCCGATGCACTTCATCGAACTTCCTTCCCAGTGATCTCTGGGCACTTGCAGGCAGCCGCTCCTGCCACCCATTGTCACACCTCATAGTAGAATTTCACACCAGGTGCAAAACAAATTGATAGACTTGCCTCATGGTGCATCGCAACCCTTTGTCCAGGTTTGAGCATGTGCAGTCTGAAAGTTCTTTGCAAACCTCCCGTGGGAGTGAGCCGTGCCGCAAGTGTCCGCGGACCCTGTTCTCTCAAAATCTACGTGCAGTCCCCTCTGAAGTCTTTGCATCCCTAGCGCTGTAAGAGCGGATGCTGCAAGCATGCACAATGACCAGCTTCATCAGCAGCCCGATTCTGTCCTACCATCAATTTTGGTGTGTCATGGGTATTGCTGCTGGAAGACAGTCCGGGCTTCATACAGCATTGAGGCCAGTTGACCTCACGTCCGCTGAAATCGAGATGCGCGCAGCAGAGAGCCAAGCTAGTCCGAAACCATCTGATCGGCTGAGAAGTTCGTCACAAAATCGCAGCTGTCAGTGCCAAGACTGCAAACGGTGAGAACCCCAAGGTTTCCGGGTTTCCAAAGCATCCAGTTGTACATGCTACAGTCAGCAATGCAAAGTTGAGAAGAGCAAGTTGTTGATCTCATCTGGAGGTTGCAAGATCTGAGTCAGGCTCGTAAGCTGGGTGATGCTTCAGGGTCAAGACACTGTGTTCAGGGCAAGGCGTATTCAGTGCCTGTCATGTGTGCATGGCCTGTACTCTTGACCATCTTCTGACCATATCACACCACACCTCCCCTGTCAAAGGCCAGAAGGTGCCAGCCATGCACTCCATGCCCCAGCCACAAAGCAGAATCCATAACACCAACGCACTAACGTGGTTACCAGCGGTTGCAAAATGCGCGTGAGCTCCATTGTGACCCAAAATTCTGACTAACAACTCGTGAATCTGCAACTGTACTGTCAAAATGTAGACACCCAGCCGCACAAGCCAGGAAAGACTACATTAGAGCCCCAGAGCATTAAATAGCCTTAGCATGGGCCGCCGACAATGAAGACGTGCGCGTGGTGATGCGGCTGGAGCGGGAATTCCACCTGGATTTCTGATGCATTCAAGGTTCATGTACCTGACATACGTTTCAGCAGCGACATGTGTGGCGGGCTGCGCAGAAGCTTAAGGCTTAAGAGCAAGCCAAGGCCAAATGGCTATGACCACGCTGAGGAGGGCAAAGGGAAGAACACACATGCAAAGAACGAACACGCGGTGGTGATGATGATTATGATGATGTTGACAATGACCCCCATGATGCCGATTTTGATGGTGGTGATGGTGAAGATGACGACCGCAACAAGGATGACAGCGATTTCAACAATACAGACCACGATGCTGATGGTTAGAGTCCTGCGATGCTGCTAGCCATGGCAGTGGCCGTGATGATGTGTCAGAACAAGGGAGAGATGACATATCAAGCAGAGGCTGATGATGTGGTGGTGATGGTGCCTGCCGTCTTCATGCCGCACATGCCCATACATGGTGCTCGTGATGTTGGAGCCGCTTTTGCCTTGAGGTCCGCTATAATGTGTTTTGGGGCCCGCTTATTCAGGATCAGGGGCAATAATGTCAGGTCCGCTTTAATGCGTTTTGATCCTGGGGGCCTAAACAAATAGGAAAGATTGTCAACTCTCCCTTCTAAATCAAGCCACGGGGACCACAGAGCCATGACGCGGGGGCCCTGTGGTTAAGGGGGGGAGCAACACTAAAGCAGGACCAACATTACAGACTTGATGGGGAAAGGTTGCAACACGGGAAGGTACACAGGGAAGGTCCCTAGCCCCACTTTTCCAAAAACGCCGCAGTTTCCCCAAGAGCCGCCCCCGGCCATGCATGGCCCCGAAAAGCCACGTGTCTAGATCGTTTTTGCCTAACGCTGACCCACGCACAAGGCACCCTGCGCGCAAATGAAAGCAATCTGCTAAGCCAGCTAGCTTTCCCCTGATAGCTCGTGCCTTGCAGCCCTTAGCCGCACAGGCAAATGCTTGGCAGTTAGCTTCATGGCGCTAAGTCATGCTGAGTCTCAGGCACCGTCGATCGTTGGACCATCGATTTGAAACTGGCAGGCCGAGGTTGGACATCAAAATCTGCACAGAGCCCCTTGGAGTGCATCCAGACAAGCATAGTTGCGTGATCAGGCGCGTGTAAAACGATGAAATCTGGATCGAGTCTGGCTTCGTGAGCGCACCAAACGGACTATTAGACTTGCTGGAGATCATGCGGCCACCACCGGTTAGTTCATTGTTTGGTTGCCTGGTCTTTTTTTGTTGTTTGTGCTTTTTGGATGTTTCATTTTTTGCTGTTTGGGCAGTGGCGTGTTTTATTTCTTGCTGTTTGGGCGGGGGGGCCGCCCCCGCCCAAACAGCAAAATCATTTACTTCGAGCATCCCCACCCTAAAGCCGTTATTGCACAAGAAGTGCAACGCTTCCCTGCTCCCCCTCAACTGTCTTCCTTGCAGCACTGCAAATGCGCTGCAAGAATATTGATACTTTGTTGTTGGGCACTCCAGGGATACTCTGCGCTTGGGCACTGCAGGTATACTTTTCGGTTGGGCCCTGCAGG